TGCCTAAGATTCAGCAGGCAAGCCAAAGAAAAACTATAAATCATTTCACACAGACTAATATCTCAACTCTTTGACAGAGAAAGTCATTATATCTTAAAAAGGGACAAGACTCCCATCTGAAGGGAACCTTATCTTGTGCCAAAGAAATGTAACGTTTTCTTAAAGCCTCATTAACCTCATGCAAGTCCACTAACCTGGTGTTCCAAGATCATAAAAATAAGACTGATGATTGTCACAGCAAGAATTTTAACATAGTATCAACTGGGTTAGACACTGGGTAGACAGTACTTAGTGACAAAGGTACCAGTGACCAAAAAGAAGCTAACGAAACTTCAGGCAGTGTACATGTTTTGGGTAACTTCGATGTAAAAAGAGTTCACAGATCATCTATCACACCATAGTAGCTGAAAATTCACTGGAAAGGTGATAGACAGTAAAGACCACAGGATTTTGAGAATTACAGTGACATACATACACCTAAAGGTTATTGATTGAAAGGTTATTTTCAATTAAGCTACAGTGTCTTCTGTACCTTAGAATAAAAACAAGCATATTTGCCTTGTCAATAACTTGTTTTACAATGCCTAGTCTAAAATCTTCTTCTGTGATTCACTTATTTTATAATAATTAGGACAACTTAATAATGTAATTTCCCTTCTTTGTTCAGTGAACAGGTAGACTTGTACTGACAAATTAATCTGAAAAAGAGAAACAATGAAAAAGCAACTCCTTGAATGTAACACTTAGGAGACACATAGCTATTGAAATACCAAAAATGCAAGCATTTTATATAAATACTAGAATTTGATGACCAGCCTTTTACTCTGCTGTCAGCTATAGAGGCACAAAGGTTGAAAGTTTCATTGCAGAATCTTGAACAAATACAAGAAATAAAACATTTTCTTAAAGGAAATAAGAATTATGTTTGTAGTGAATTCAAAATAGCATAATTTTATTCATATTTTGCTTTTTAAAGTGAAAAGTCAGTTATACTACAATGCTAATCACTACATTAATGGAGAGAAATAATGAATCAAATGGAACTTTACATTTCTTTTTGACATTCAAGGACAAAATATTTTGACATTTAAAAAGTAAGTCTTATTTTGCTCTGAACTGGGAATCCAGAGAAAAAACTGATTGATTAGGGAAGGTAGGTACCTCTGCACAATTTAATGAATTTTGATTAAACAGAGGTTAAGGAATTTTTGACTAGCACTACTGACAAAGTGTGATGGCCTGAATTTGCATCTCACTCCAAGCTTAGACTTTGTAAATCAGGCAGCTGGACCAAATCTTTCAAAGCTTCTAATAAAATATTTGTATTGAAACATTAAAAGAAAGATTTAGCTAGTTTTCCAGAAAAAAACCAAAACAACAAAACAAAACAAACAACAAGAAAATCTCATCAGTATTCAGATTATAGTCAAAAAAACAGTGACTGATATAAATCAGGTAAAAGTTCCTTAATCTATATGTTGTTGTAACAAGTTCATACTACTGAAAAGCCCAAAAGACCCATTCCCCCCAAAATCTCTCAACCTACCTAAACTAAGAAGTTCTTTCCTCTTCCTTGAATAATAGGACTGAATTGAAACATATGGAAGTAAAGTTCAATTTAAATGGAATAGATCTTCCTGAATTTGCTTGCTTACATATGTGTTACAATAAACATCTTTTATATCTGTCTGAATCAAAGTTCGAGTTCTTATCATTCTGGGATTAAAAAAGAGAGGTTTAGAACACATTCATATTTACTCAGAAACCAAACAAAAGAAGAAAGCATCACACTAACAAACCCTACACCACATCCTTTGCAACAGCTAATCTCATGGCTAAGTAGAAGTTTCAGGGACAATGCTTATGTTGCAATGCCCACCTCACCAAGGGACAGAACTATCATCAATCTCTCTCTGCAGGTACAAATAGTTTAAAGATTTGTTATCATGTGGTTTAGTTGGCTAAACTTTTTTTGTGTACTTAATGTAAATAGACTGACAGCCCTGACAATTGACAATTATCTTGTTAGCCAGCATAACTTGGCTCATAAAGATGGTTTTCACCAAAAGAGTAAGAAGTGTTCATTTCCCTGTCCAAAAAAGCAGCTTATTAATGCAAACTTCTGTGTTCCTTCACAGCATGCAAATTTCACACTAGGTAAAAAACAAACAACCAAAAGTTTATTTCAAAGAGGTCCATCAGCAGCTAAGTATTTTCATATCAACACTAGAATAAAAATTGACCCAGAAACTTCAGAATCTTTCCTTCTCACTCAGACCCAGTAAATTATTTTCCATGTTTATTAGAGTGGGCACCTCATATGAAGCTGCTTCTTTACCATCAACACAGCTACCTCCTTTCTATAAATAACAAATCCTGATGATTATCACTTACTCTTTGTATGAGTCACATTTAAAGAGAGCCCTGAGGTGCTTCTCAGGGAGTCTCTTTGAATCATGAATCAGAAAGGAAAGAAAGCAGCCTCTGAATATTACCATACCCAGACTCTAGATGCCTAGAAGTATCGTTGCCTATTTATAGCTTCAATCTGTCAGGCAGTTTCACATAATGGAAGTCAATGGTCATAGGGAAGTTTCTCTTCTTTAGAGGTATTTGTAAAATTAAGAGAATCTGATAATGGAAAAGCTCCCTACACATACACACGAAACAGACAGGGTCAAAGCCCCTTATTTTAGAATCAACTGAAAATCCATAGTCTGGACAAAAGCGAGGAATAAGAGCCATCAGGCTCTTCATGGCACAAGCCCGGCTTGGGCAGACACCATCAAACCCTGACGGACATGAGGACAGTTTCTACCTCAGTCTTTGCTGCACAGCGCAGCCTCAGAGCCTCGCAAGCCACGGATTTAAGCTATTACTTTATTTCTCATTAACAGCTTCCAGGTCTCGCCCATGTTTTATTCATTTTCCAGTCAGGGCTACAGTAAGGCTTTTACTCACCTCAGCAGGACCACAAGAAGTTTCCTTCCTTATGGACAGAGAGAAAACAGAATGCTTTCAGACCTGATGGAGCTGGAGACAAGCAGCAATTAGCTGACAACAGGCTGACACGTTCTTCACCGCTCTTGCATAAAACATTGAGCTGTGCTCCTCTGGCCCACCTCATCTTTCTCAATTTATTTATTTATTTTCAGGCTAACCACTTAGTAGCCTAGCAAACTGCTGTTTTGCAAAGGCAAATTTTGTCCATATTTTTTTTTCAGGGTATGAAACAACCAGATAGAGTTCTGGAAAGTCCTCTACCTTCTTTTGACAATCCTTCTCACTTCCCATGAAGGGCTCAGTTGTATTGTCTACTTCAGCCCAAATTTCTCTGGGTCTTTCTGCCCCCAAAGCAAGGAAATATTACTTTACTCCTTCAGCCTTAAATGGAAGGGCTCTCTAGATAAATGTAATTAACCCATTTATCTAGCTCATTGCTGCTCATTAGCCCTGAGTGCCTTCATCTGGCTTCCAGGTCCCACATAACCATTTTTGTGGATGCCACTGCATCACGCTTCACTTTGAGCATCTGTTTTCTCACTCCATGTCAGAATTCTTTGGTCTTCTCCTACTTCCTTGTTTAGAGATAATTCTTCCTGACTTTTTTCCCCCATTTTGTAGCCATTCTCCCTAGTCACTTCTACAGAGACAGGGACAACACCTCTTGGAAGTGTCTACTTCCCAGAAAGTCTTGGCTATGGTCTGCCTCAAAGTTACAAGCCCCAGAAGCCACTTGAGGTTGAAGGCAGTAACTTGTAGAATACCACTAATATCCTAAATCACTAATAATCACTAAAATGCTGTAATCTTAGCAAACAAATACTAACCTAATGATTTATAAAAATATAAATGGTATTTTTCTGTCTTTCTTACCACAGCTGACTATATTCCTTCTTACACTAGTATTCTGAAATATGTTGAAATCTGTAACTTTATTTGCCTTAAATAATTTTGTTGCGATGTACATGTAATCCTAGAGAAGATTAAGATAAGAGTGAGCAAATGAAACAGAAGTCTACTTCTGTTTCAGAAACTAAGTATTTCCTGTCTTATGAGAGTCCTGAGTGTACCAGCAGGTTACCTGGCATGAACATACACGTATGAACTCCAACAAGCCTAAATCATGAGGTCTCACCCCTAGCTTTAAACAATTGTGATGATTTGCATACAAATATCTTACAAGTACTGGAAACAGTAAATCTCTATTTGTATCTGCGAGAAATTCTTCTTCCACTTCTTTTTAACAAGAACTCGTGAAATGAGAGAGACTCTGATCCATATCAGAAGTTTTTTCCTGAGACATCATGTTCTTTGGTCAGCACATTGCCCAGCTGACACACAATGATTAAAGATTTGCAAATCTAGTGTCACATTTAATATTTATACATTTTAATTGTCATTCACATTGAAAATGTCATTAATGAAGTCTTAAGGAATGCTTCATTGTTAAGAGTTGAAGGTTTACAGATACCCTTTTCAGTCAACCTAAGAACAGTGCATCTATTTCAGCTGTATGTAGGTACATGCATCTATTCTTTGTTTTGCTTCTTATACCAATGAATAATTTCAAATCAGTTCTGTGCATACAGAAGTGAAGAAAATAATCTTCACTTTTTAAATTCTCTTTCATTAAAACAACCATCTTCTTTTGATAGTATGTTTTACGTACCCTAAGATTTTCTCATCACTGTAAATACTTTCAACCTGAGAATGGTTTTAAATTATTCGAGGCCATGCTAAAAAATCCCAAACAACCAAGATTAATAGAAAGATAGTCTCTGCTATAAGAACTGTTAATTCAGTTTAATGGCTGCTCTGTTGTATTTTGTTACAGTGAGAATTTATGCACACTGACCAGCAGCTCTGATTTACTATTTATATGTCTATTCAGAATTGTATGTAATTCTGATAGCATGGACTCATCTATTCCTCTTTACATAAAAACGTGTGTTGTGACCAACTTGCTATCACACATTTAAAACTGCATACATTATTAAGTAATAGCTTATGTATAATTTTATTTGTTTTCAGAGTTACAATGTTCATGAGATAATCATAGAGAACACATTATATACTGTTGTTAAACACATTTTTGCCACAAAAAGTTGAGAGCATTGGTAGAAAATCCTATGTCAAGTTATGTGAAAATATTTATCACCTGTAAACCATAATTTCATAAAACCAATATACACTTTATGTAATATTATATCAGCAAATTCCTTCTTTTTGCAAATAACCTTTGCTCTATACTTAAGCATGTTTGTACTTCAGTGCATCAACTGCTTCTCTGTGTGTGTGTGTTTGCAATGCACAGGAAAATACTAGTTTACTCCTATGGTAACTGTAAATGTCAACACCACTGAACCCAAGAATGGTGAATTACAAGATCTTAATTTTAGCAAATAATCACCTTCATATTTTTCTACCTAATGCTGAACAAAACATTAATTGGCATTTACCTCCTAATGTTTACAGAACATAGACTGTATATTTCAAAGACATAATCCTAACCAACTATATACTGACTTTTATTTTAATGTCTATTATATAAATTAGGACTCTGTTGAATTCTTATACCGAGGAACAAATGATAGTAACTTTATTAAATACATGCACAGTACCGTGCACTACAGCATGATGAAGTCTTACTTTTAAAATGGATGAGTGAATCAATAGAAAAATAGATTTAATAAATAATTAACATTTTGAAGTTGGGTAAAAATGGGAAATCATGCATTTCAAGCCAAGTTTTATTTTTTCCTTGTTTTTTTTATGAAATCTCTGAGAACTTAAGACATGCAGAGCTGAGAAGCAGCTCACTCTAAACAAAGAACAATGTTAAGACTGCACAAAAAGTTTTGAGATTGTTTATATGCAAGACTGAAAAAACTTGCCATTCTTGGACTTCCCTTCAACATTAGACAGTGCTGTGCAAACTTCAGACAAATCCCTGTATTATGATTTCTAAGCTGTTAGGAAGTCTCTCAGAGAGCTATGAAAGTTAAAACCTGAGCAACTGCCTCACCAGAATTTATGACAAGAAATGTTTAGATTCCAGATAACAGATAACAGACAACAGTCCATCATTTCCTTGAATTAACTTTAACTTAGAGATTAACTTAGGGGATGAGTAATTATGGATGGCGTAAGTTTATAAATTATTATGACACAAAAAAATATAAGTTTAATTTTCTAATATTTAGAGTTCATATCTATGCCACAATATTTAGCGTATGTTACTATGTCTATCAACTTATAAAACAAATGAGAAGTGAGTATTTACTTGAAATTAATTTAATGCTTTTCTCTACCCCAACATTTGTCTGGTCATTGCCAATGCAATCAAAAGAACTGTAAATTTTCAGAAGTGAGTCTACTCCAGTGAGTTTGATTAATTATGCATTAACCCACTTCTCTGAAGCATCCTTCACTAAATCTTTGGTGGGAAATGCACTTTAATTAGGCATGAGCTTTGGTTATTTGTGTGCATATGCACTATGCTATTGGTCAATGTGGAGAATGATTTAAAGCTTGCCATGTTACAGAGATGTATTGCTCATGAAAATAATTCTAGGGTCTCAACAAACACTGATGGCTAGTTTTACAAGTATTATTATCTTCACTCAGCATGATCTTCTTAGTCCCATAGCTTTTGTTCAAACTTTCATCAATTTGTAATCTTAACAAAACTTACACAAGAACAATCATGATCATTTGAATACTGTGCATATTGTTAGATGTTTTCAGCAGGTACAGTTACTCATGTACATAGGAGTTATCAGAATAAGTTACAAGATTTTAATACTTAGTTGAATAAAAATATTCTCAGGGTAGAAAGAAAATATAAACTAAAAATACAAATTAATGAGACCTGCAATGATTTTACTCTGAAACAGGTCAGATTGGCTATTCATGTAAAGATGTTTGATTGAAGAGATACTATTGAACTTATGGCATATGGTTATTGTAGAAAAAGCTGAAACAGAAAAGAGAGAAAATCAAATTACCCATGACATTCTCTTCCTGTATTCCATGGCAGAATTAGCCCATAGATTAGTAAATGGTAATGCATGCAACAAAAAATATTCTGTATCACTGTATGTAAACATCTGCTTTCATCATGCAAAATGCCTACAAAACTGTGACGACATTTTTTCTAGTAGTATAGTTTTACATCAGCTCAGCTACAGAACGGTTAAAACAAAATCCAAGATTTTGCAAATAGAAGATATTCTAAAATTCTTGTAAGATTTCCAGCATAAATATTCCAAAGCCCAACAAAGCTAATTGTTTTTTGTTTTAAACTAAACTACATAGGCTTATTCCTTGCTGTGGTTTCTCGTTCTTTTGATGATAGAAGAGAAAAGACCAGTTTTTGGAGGCGGTCCCATCAACATGGGGGCTTGGTTCTTGTGAGTAATTTTTATCTGGGGAAGAAAGAAGAAAAACAGAGTTATTCCTTGACCTAGTTCAGTTCCAACTATCTGAGATGCCTGATTTATCTTTATCCAGACCTGCATCATTCAACTTAAGATTAAAAGAAAATACCTGTGTTTTTTTAATGAATGATGTTCCATATGGAGTGGACCAATCTATGTGTAATAATTTTTCCACAAATAATTTAAATTATACACAAAAAAAATAATAAACACGCAATAAAATGCATGCCAATATACAACCTTACTTTCTGAGTGTGGGATTTATTGCTTGCTGTTGAGGAAGAATTTAGAAGTTGGAAAGAACATACATGCTGACAGACCAAGCTGTTGCCTATTGAGATATAAGCTATGCCTTTACATGCTTTATTTATACATCTAATCAAGCTGTACTCTTTTACCACAGGACAGTACTTAATTTCAAAACAGCCATGATGAACAAAAGTATAAAGTTAATACACAAGAAAAGGCCCAAAAAGATGAACTAGCGAATGCTAATTTGTTAATTAATTGTTAGTAGCATACTAACAATTTGAGCATACTCAAATACTCAAATATTGAAAAGACTATTTAAAACACATTGTAATTCTGCTCTAAAGCCACCCGTTTTGATTTCTTTGATATAGAACTACGAATCACCTTAAATGAGACAACCTTAAAGTAGATTATGTCTGCAATTTTCTCTAATTCAAGTCTAAATTAGAGAAGACATTTTATGAATGTATGCTATGCTCAAAGCTAATTGAAAGCAATTATCAAAGTGGCATTTTGTCTGTGACTTTAAGATACATTGTAAGATAATAAATGATTCTCATTATGTAATAAAAAGGTCACATCTTGCCTTTGGGCTAGTGACGTTAGGAGTTTTTCAAAAGCAATCCGAGACATTTTCTTTAGTGAACTACGACTAATACAAGAACCATCACTTATTAAATATCAGTTGTCACCTGCATAGTACCCACATCAGAGATGGGTATTTCTTTCAAAAAGAAACACCACCTCATTAAAAACTGGAAAAATATATCTCTTAAAGTGCATACCTGACATTTTCAAGTTAAAATGAATATCCTTCACTTGTCATTCACTAATAGTAAATGAAACAAAAAATGTATGTCACGTGGAGAGGCTCATTAAAATATAGATCAGGACATTTCTTGGGGTGGAAATTTACTTTACAATGTAAGAAGAGAGAAACATCAAAATCTCAACAGAGTGTGTCTTCGTTTAACTCTATTAGAGCCTTTACTTTACTCTCCAAATGCTCATTTTCATGCCACCTTAGTTCATTAACTTCAAATTTCATGTGGGATCTCTTTTTGTCAACACTATTCATTAGTATTGAATATAGCATATGTGGGGTACTTGGCAATGTAGATTACTTTCACATGGATAATAACTCTGGCTTTCAAAGACTGGCACCAATATATTTTCTCACAATAAATTCTGCTTCAGGCATCACTTTGGAAGCCAAATCTGTAGTTGGGGTAAACTGGCATTATTCCATTGATGTCAGTACCAGCTGATGATCTAGTAGCGGAAAATTGCCTATTTTTGTAACTTTCACATGCTTCATAAGACATATTTTGGGGATCAGGAGCAGCAATGATATCAACCTGATCCTGAGGATCTTGACATGAAGTAACCTACAGCTGGCGTGAGTGAATTTTCCAAGTCACACGGGTTTAGCTTATTGCAAGGTTTGGCCATGATGTGGCAAGTAGGAATGCCTTTAAATTTCCTTTCTGAGGTAAAACACAGTAATTCCATCTTAAAGTGAATAAAAGAGCAAAGCTCAAAAGATGGCTGTAGTATGAAGGAGTGAGGTAATCCTGAGACCCTGTACAGATTGCGTGTCAGGTTGGGGCTGTTCAATGCTGCTCAGGATGAATGCAATTACATACTGAGTAAATGTTTATCATTTGCAATGTTCCTTCTTGGCTTGAGCCATCTGTTTCAGAGACCACGACCTCTTCAGTATGTTGCTTCCTATCAGCTGAGATGAGCTAACATGCTTGAACATGATTAACCACTACCATGCATGGGGATAAGTCTTATATGCCTCTCTGCAAGACGTATTTTCAACCATTATAAATGGGCACAATTTCAATGGTGTAAAATATTTTACATTCTGAAAATGCTACAATAAAGTGTAAATTTAAATTATATTTTTTTACTAAGTCATGGTAGTGTCTGTTAACATTGCATTGGTTAACAATGATAACCATCAATTCCTTATTTTCCTACCCTAAAAAAAAATTGAAATATCTTATTTTTGGCTGATGAAAAGAGATCAGTATGTTTCTGAACCATTGCAGTATTTTGCCTGAAGAAGGCAAATTTTGTCTTTCTCAAGACTCTCAGGCACTGCATTTCTGCCCTGGTCTCTCACTTCTGCTTCTGTTCTCATAGTGGCAGCACTGCCAGAGTTAGAGCCATGAGTTTGGGTGACAAGTGACAGTGCACACTTTGAGATGGGAATAAGCACTGAGGATGTCAGACAGAGAAATAGTGTTGTAGGTCAGAGCAAGGCTGAACATTGAAAGTGCTCTATGGGAGGACAAAAAGAGAGAGAGAGATCTTTACTTAGAGACTGAGACTTTGTTAAGTTAAAAATTCCTAGTTACAGCTCTATAGAGATTCTGTGTGTGTGCATTGGGAGACTACTATTTCCCATTCAGTTTCTTTTCCATTCAGCAAGCATCTTTCATGTCTTTTTTAGTAGAAACACAGTTATAAAAGTTTTAAATAAGACCCTTCTTCAAAATTTTTAATGTTTCCTACATTTACCTGTGATTCATATACACACATGCACATGAGAAAAAGAAATTGCACAGATAAAAATCCAGAAAGCTAAAATCCTAACCGAATTTATTTTTAGGAATTGATGATATATACTCATAGAAATTACTATGGAATTCTGGCAAACAATTTTGAGATCACTTACTCAATTTATTGAAAATATGTAATAACTGGAGGGTAATATAGAGAACATTTTAAAGATTAAAGATAAATTGGGTGCCTGAATTGCTGCTGGAAGAAAAACAAAACAAACAAACAAACAAACAACCACCCCAAAAAATCCCAACCAACCAAAAGAAACCCCAAAACAACAACCCCCCTCCCCTAAACCAACATCAACAAACCCCCCCCAAAAACCAAAACAAACAAAAACCCCAAAATCAACAACAAAAACAAAACAAAAAAAAACCCCAAACCAAAACAAAAAAAATATTTGACATACTTGGCAGAAATTTATATTTAAAAATAGACAAAATCAGGAAATAACAGAATTCTGCTTTGGGGGTAAGTACGTAGCCACCTGAATTGCTAAGATACCATGGATTTTTGTTGTAAGCCTGATCCACAACATTCTAGGCTAAACTTAAAATGTTGAAGCCAATGACAAACCTCTTATTTACTAATTGAAGCCAAGATTTTATCCCATGAGGGTTGGTATATCTAGTAAATATTTATCTAGCAGAAAAACACTGTATTTGCAATTTTGAAATCACCTTTCCAGTATTAGAAAGGATGTCCAGTGACTGTATTCTTGGCAAGGAACACTAGGTCAAATTGAAAGAGCACAGCTGTTGAAAGAAGAAATGATAATATCTCCCTATATGTCAATAGAAAATTTTCTGATAAAGAAGAAGCCTGAATTTTTTATATTAAAAATACTTACAAATGCATAAACCAGGCATTTATTTGTTTTAGGAGCAGGTCAGAGTTTCAAAATGCATTGAAGCCACATTAATACAATGTATCCACTAAATGACATGCAGTGAGCATCAATAACTTTAGCATGATAACAATATCTTTAAGTCAGTCAGTTTTGCTTTCATGTTCCTTTTTCTGCAATGTGTGCTGGTTACCTTCATGCTCAGGACTTCAGAGAATGCCTAAACATTTTCTATTTACTATTTCAGAAGACATGGTGCTATAAATACAGGTTCTAAAGTACTGTGCTGACAATAGAAAACTTGAGACAGAGCTAATCAGCTCTTCTTTCCATATTTCAATTAAGGTTAAAGAACATATTACTGTATTTTAAAGACAGAGGGAAAAACCTGCCAGAAAAAAAAGAACCCAGCTTTATCCAACTGGATGTTTTAGTTTATGGTCACTTTTTCACGTGCTCTCAGCAGGGTTTAGGTGTTGGTTGTTTTGAGGGCTTTCTCACAGTCTAGATGCCCAAATGCTGCTCCTCTTACAGGAAGGAAACGGAGGGATGCAACACCTCTATATCACAGGAGTGCCAAATACTTTCATCTTTCCTAGGTGATCAAGAGTGTATAGGGTATCACGCTATGAATCAGTGATAGAATGTAGGCACTGCTGAGCAAAATCAACCTGGGACTTGCATCATGTGGCATTTTGGGCAAGATCTAGACTAGTTGTTTCAAAAGCGTTACGCAACACATCTTAAATAAATTTCTGAACAATATTATTGTGCAAAGCGCAATCAAATCTAATCAGTTTGGCATTAATTAAGCTCTAATAATATACTCTAGTCTCTCTCCTAAGTAGTGTGATCCGTTTCCCCTTCACACAGGTAGATTGGAAAACGTTACGGTGTCATCATAATTTTTAAACATACTGAGAAAATGACAGAGCTGCAAAATTAAAATAAATGATTAATGGCATTTTTTTCATGTTTTGTACTAATAGGTATCACTGAGGTTTTAAATTAATAGAGCTGTCAGCTCAGGGTTGTTACAGATCCAGTGCAGAACTAAAATGGAAATTATGTATTCCACAGATACCTAAAGATGACACTTTGGAATATTTTAAATTTTAATTAGTAGGTGCAATTGTTTTTCCCTCTCCTCCCTAAAACCACTGCAAATTAATTGGCAATTAGTCACAACTAATTCTTTTCTTAACAATATGAACTGGAAAGAAAGGTGCACTACATGTTAGAGTATTTGTCTGGGATGCAGAAAGCACACATGCAGTAAATTGCTTTGTCAATTACAAAAACTACTGTTGTGAAATTAAGAAAAAAAATACGCATACATAAACAAAAGTAATTAAAGTGCAGTGTACCTGTGACCACAAAAAATAATGCCCAGCTGCAAAATAACATGCTAAAAATTCAATAAATCAATCTGGCCTTGAAACAGAACTATATGTGCACTGGTGCTTCGAAGGGAAAAAAGTGCAGCATTTTCCTATGACATCAAAAATCTGTAGTGAGTGATTGCCGTTTTTGGGTTAACTATGTAGCAATTGGCTAACATTCTATTGAAATTAGCCACCATATCTAGGACCTAGCTCCTGTTTGCTCTAAAGTGGCAGATGCAATAGTTTAAATTCTCTCATTATAAACAACTGATAAGAAAACAATGGTACAGCCAGAGGCATGGAAAGAAGATACTTGACAGAGTCTAGAATACAGCTGCAGCTGCTTCATGTGATGCGTGAGGTACTGGAGACAATGAATCTATGTAAGAGCAAATCTGTAATTCTCAGTTTTCTCAACTAGTTCTGGCACATAGTGATTTTTAATAAAAGCTTGGTTTGATTTAGTTTAAGTTCTTGTTTCTCTCTGGATTTAACCACAGGACAGCAGGATCTCTGTGCCCTGGCTCATCAGATCTCTAGGGACTAAAGAAAAAACTAGAGAGAAACCACTTCATTCAAAACTTATTTTTAAAGTGCTTTCAAATTACAGTATTTTGAAATACTGATTTAGAGCAACATTATTCCATGACTTACTCCAAGTAACAGTAAACAATCAGTAAACAATTCTAAAATACTATGTCTCAGATATCTGTGAAACTGTGTTTCTGGCAATCCATTAGGTGAGCTCTGACTATGGGTTTTTATTTTTGTTTCTTTATATAAGCAATATTCTTGCATCTTCTATAGACATTTCTGTCTTCTACTTTTAATCTAGTGTTTCTAAAAGCTTGACACTCCTTCAGATATCATGCCAAGCAAGTCAGGAATAGATGAAAGAACTGAAATTGCAGTTATTTCTAATTAAGATGGAACATTGTTATAGATTTTTTCAAAACATTGCTAATAATTTATGTAGCTAAATTGAAAGATTACTTTTCTTAAAAAAAACCCTGATGGCTAAAACTAGAAGTTTATTGAATTAACTTGAGAGTCTTTGAAGTTTCATTACTATTAATGACCTGTTTGGAGATCAGGTGAAACCATAGATATCTTTCATGTTGCTATATTTGTCTGGGAGAGCTCTGATAGAATTTCCTCTTCAGCTAATCAGACAAGATGTTTAACATAATATTAACATTATCATCTTTCCTTCTCCCAAAGAGTCTTCTGTAAAAAAAACAGTGAAAACAATACAATTTTATGCTCAGATGCTTCATCTTATTTTACCAGAGCAGAGTGCCTTTGTTATACACTGCATTCTGTGTGTGTTCAACACACTGAATAACTCTGGATGTCAGGTTTTTAGGCCAAGCCACTCACATTTTTAAGTATGCACAGAACCTACAGGAGTGCATACCTGCTCTCATCTAGGGATGATAAGAGCAAAGGAATGTATCATGAAATATTTTAAAAGAAACACACAACTATTTGTTTACTCCTTAAATCGATCACAGGAAGGAAAAATCACAGATCACAGCTTCTGGAGAATCACTGCATTATCTACCACATGCCACAATATTTTCTCAGAGCTCACAGTATCATTTTGGAGGAGCATGGCCTCCACGTGCATGAGAAAGAACAGTGTCAGCAACTCATGCTATTTGTGTGAAACTTTTTTTCCCCACTCAGAAAGGAGAAGCTGCAAAGTGAAACATGTTGATTCCTTCAACAGGAAGTAAACTTCCAAGCCTGCATGTGCAGGCTATATCCTACACATAACAGGGATTTGAGGCTGAACTTGTTTCCCTGAATAGGCATAATAGAAAAGCAAGAGAATTTTGATCAGGTTGAACTTAATTTCTTGAAAAATAGTTTGAAAAATACTCTCATTTATATCAAAACCTGAAGCAATGCAGAAGTATTTTTGAGCTTAAGTACTTGCAACTTGGGCAAGAGTTGCTTCAATACCTGCTGATTCTATGAATTTCTTCTCACTTAGTCTCTGTAATTATAGGTCAGTCCTTAAAACTACTGAACTTAGATGACATTGAAGATCCTAAGATACCAAAAAATAAAGTGTGTTATTTCAACTTCATAAAAGACAGTTGAAGGGAGAAACATAGCAGCCTTTTTTTTAACAATAGCTTTCCGGCTGGAACTCCAAAGAATCAAAAACCTGAGGCTCAGCTGCTGTGTCTCACTGATGTGTGCAACCTAACAAGGTGCAGACCTCTCTCTCCTAAAACTAGTGAGATGGTATATCCAAACACAGCTGTAGCTTTTTTCCTTCAAACAACATAGCTAGTAAACTAATAAGTGCCTTGCTTCAGCATCCTAATGAGAAAAGGGGTAGCCTTGTCTCCCCACGTCTCTGCACAATGCAGGAATAGCATTTTTATATACAGCCTCAATTTCTTGTAAGGACTAGAGAAAGAAACTTCCTAAGAGGCAAAATAAAAAGAAAGCCAAACTATCACATGTGTCCGAGGGAACTAAACTTATGGAGTTCTTTATCTGGCCATGATGGTATTTTTTTTTCCATTTAAAAATGTGTCATTATTCATTTGTTTTCATTTTGGGAGAAATTGGCAGTTTTTCCTCTAAAAAAGACAAACCTCATGATTTTTATATTGGTCTCCCTATTCGTTTTCTGAAATTTGAGCCCTTGCTGGGTCAAATGACTGATTATATAGCTGACTAGGCCTAAAGAATTATTTTCTGGGGGTTTTGTATAGACTGTGGTTTGGATACACATCACATATATCACCCTGATATTTATGTGATCAAGTACGCTTTGGCTTCCAAACAAACACCACTGTGAAGTACAAGCTCAGAAATCAAATCTTGATCTTTGCTTGAGAGAAAGCCAATATCCACCTATGTCGTTACCTAAGGAAGAATTCCAAGCTACTTTGCAGAGAACTTCAAGAAAAAAACTCTACTGTTGTTAGAATTAGTGGGGAGGTAAGAGGTTGGACCATACATGCTTTTTTCTTCATAAGATGTAGAAAACAGAGTGTGGTACATTTACAATGACGGAAGGAGCTATTGCAATAAATACTTAAGCTCCTCAGCAGAAAAAAAATCCTCAAAAATGAATAAAATAACAAAAAATAATATTTGTATATCTAAACTCATAAAAGTGCATTGGTGCAAATAGTTAATGTATTTTTTCCTCAGAGGAAACAAGTACATTCAACAGCATGGTTTTCTTAGGCAGTGCCAAGTATATTCTCTTAACAATGGTACAGCAAAAAGAATAGGTTCCTTAGAAAAGTATATGCCATTTCAATCCCCTTTAAAACTGGACAGCAGTAATAATCAGTAGTAATTTACTGTTTCCTCAGGGCAGTAATTGAAATGTAAGAACTGTCTCTTTTTCCAGGTTTGTTCTCAATTGCACAGGCAGCTTCTGCTAGCATTATCAATCAGATAGCAGGGATTCTGCACTGAGAAAGCATCAGGGAAAAAAAAAAACCACGTTATTGCCAGCAACCTTCCATAAGTTCTCTTCTGTAATCTGGCAACTGAAAAATTACATGTCTTTTTTCCTGAACAAGTAACTATTGGATTCAGTACTGTTGCTCTGCACTGAGCCATCACTGTAGAAGAGGTAAAGATAATGGTATCTCCTAACTCCAAAAGGTTTTTTACAACAAATCTCATAAAATCCCCACTGCTCTGCCTTCACATAGTATGTGCTCATATGGTTCTCCTCACACTGCAGAATCTGAGCTCTTCCCTAGAGAATGAGAATTCAGCCTCCCTCACACTGTTCAGCTGTACACTATGGTGCATCTGGTAAACATGAACTACCACAACCCTCTTCTGTCATCCTAACCCATATATCATCAGGTGCACACCTATTAGCACATTACTGAACGTTGCCCCTTTTATTTTTTGTGTAACTTTTAATTTGACCACAGACATAAAGCTCATGAAAGGAATCCAGCACCCTTTCTTTGAAAATTACTCCCAGTTGTAGTGGGATTTCTTCCTCGTCACAATATTCTTTTGTCTTATTTACAAGATGCAAGGCTACAGCAATTCATCAACATAAAAACGCAGGTCTTCCTCAGGGAACCAAAATTCATGTAAGTGTATATTAAGATATGTTACTAAGATTGGAGAATAAAGAACTTTGATTTCTTCAGCCTCCTCTCTGAATACTTGGTTAGCCTCTATAATTTACTGGAGAGAGATGAAAATTGAGAAGTCTTACAGATACACCTTTTCTTGCATTGTCTCTAAAGAGTGTGTGCTCTCACACACTCAAAGAACACTCTGAGAAAGCTCCTATCCTGTCCTAGGTTATCCTAAATTATGCAGATTGATGTTTGCCTGCCCTCACTTCATATGTGTGGGTGCTGAAACAAGAAGCTAATCAATTTCCTTTATTTAACCCTTAAAATGTAAGGACTTAAAAAAAATAGCCCTATTGTATAATTCAATCAGCATAGTTGAGACTTCAGCTTTAATTAAAATTTTCTTGATATGAACTCGAAAAACACAATAGAAAATCTTCCTAAATTTTTAAGACCAATTTTAGTTTATACATTTTAGCATCAAAACAAAAATTGAATTTTCCTCAGCAATAGAGACTCTAAATCTGATACATCATCATACAGAAATTATAATTTTGGGTAAAGGGATACTGAGACTGCACTTTTCAAGTATTTTTCAAACTTCTGAAATAGATGTCTCTTTATTCCATTCTAACCTGTGTTTGAATTTGGAAAAGTTCCAATAAACTGAAAATGCAGGGGGTACTGAAGTATATAAAGAGTTTGTAAAGATGTTATTTAAGTAAATTGAGTTGATACTAATGAAAACAGTTGTCTTCCAAACAAGACAGAAATATTTCTATCATTGAAAAAGAAGAGAAAGAAAAATATTCAGTTGCAGTTACCGTGCAAGGAGTTTGCATCCAAGGTTCTCCATCTATCTGCATAGGCAGAGACTTGCTGGTCCTAAAGGTACAAATTTCATAATATAAGAAAAAGAAACTAGAAAAATTTGATAAATGTATTTATTAAAATGGCGTATATGTGATGGCATACAGCTATAACACTGATTTACCCCAAACTCCTATGAAATTTCCAGTATGACTCAGTATGTTTAAAATGTAACACAGTCAACTTAGAAGGTTTAGTCTGATTTTCAACACACAAAGCAAAAACAGCAAATATTCATGTATCTTGCTAGTAACACACTACTCTTTCATGAAATAAGAGTCTGTAATTTGTGAAATAATGAGTGGATGACACAGGAACTTCAGGAACAAACCTTGTTAACAGAAAAGACAAACAAATTTGTGTTTGTTTTTTTTTATAATTTGGATTGTACTAATATATAGTATATGTATTATACTACTATAAAGGAAACAAGAAATAAATTTTAGGTCTATCATCACCACTTAATAGAACCACTGTGTCTAAGTTAGACAGAACACTCACAGAGAACGAAGTTTGCACTATATTCAGAGTGTTTAATCTGCCATGTTATAAATTTAAATTGTTAGGGGTGTTGATTTCATAAGAAAGATACAGACAGTATTCCCTCTCTAGTTCTGGATGCCACATTAAGAAAAGTGTAGTAAAATGAGAACAGAAAAAAAAAAATACTACATTTTGTGTTTTTTCCAACCCTGTATTTCTGCATTATAATAGTTTGCATACAAGACTATTAGAAATAGCATGGAGTGGATAAATCTAATAATGGAAAAATTAGTGACTCATATTGGTCAATGGAAATTCTGGTTTGGACATTTTTTGAAAACAACTAACATTTCATGCAATTATCCACTATCACCTATGGCCATAAATGGAGGAAGGGAAGAATGTTTAATGAGTTCTCACTTTATAGTTCGGGAAGGGTTCCTACTTATTTTTTTTATTGTTGCTCTTCTGTTTTAGGCTTAGAATTGTAGAGCTTATGGGTTTAATAAATTTTGGAAAATTCTTCCTGAGGAATTCTTCACTGAAAAAGAGAGAGATGGTCAATTCTTTTTCAGTCCTTATTTAATCCAAAAGACAGAGTAATTAGTTCTTCCTTGTGTTCTAATCCGAGTTTACTCTATTGTGAATGTTTTTATCTCAGAAATTATAAAACACAATGAATTTAGAGCACTCCACCATCATCGGCTCACACATACCAACAGATTTAATAATAGTGGCTTGTCAGAATTCAGTAAATAACAAATAAATTAAAAACAGAGCACTTTGACTTCCACAGATCAAAAAGTGCTTTTACAATTACTAATTACATGCTACTATTCCCTGGTGTGGTATGCATTATAAATGGGTTAAAATGTGACAAAGTAATGCTAAATTACTTCTGGCTTGAAATTGCATGGAATGTATGTCAACAATAAACCCCAAGATGTTCATGCCTTATTCCTTCTGCTTCAAATGCTTGGCAATACTTCTTCATAGGACAAAATGGCACTTGAATACAATATATGAAGACTGAATGTAAACAAACACCCTCTTTTTATTTTTTTGACACTTTTAAAGAAAGCAAGATGTATGGGCATACAACATGGATGGAATAGATTCATTTCATATACAATAATGATACTTTCACAAGAAATAATAATTATGACTGTTAAACTACAAAAGAAAGTCAATATATAAAACTCTTAGGTTTCACCACAACAGTGCAGTGTAAATTAAAGCTGTGATACCTGATGACAACAGATGAGCACTGGGCAAGCCGTCTCCCAGCACTTTTCAGACCTGTGTATATCTGTCCCATCTCCATGGCTCCTTCCAGACCAACCACTTCCATAAGCTGGTCACTAAGATCTGCAAAAGTTGAAAAAATCCACATTTTGTCTTGACATCATTTTGAAAGCAGTCATATTGACCAACAAGAATTGTCAGAGACAAGCTGATAATAAAAGATGTGGAGAACAGAACTGGCAAAAATGACTATTCCGAAGGAGACTTACAGCTTCAAGTTGGACACAACTGGGCCTTGCTGTCACTCAATTCCACAACATCCTAACCCAAATTATTCTGAAATAGAATAATTATATCTATGGTTTATTTTAATACATGAAGACTAAAAAAATGATTTAATTACATGACAGAACAGAAGAGATTCCTTCATTTTGGCTACCTGACACACAAAGAATGAGATGTTTACAGCACAGAAATTTATGCTTTTTATTTTTTCAACAGATATTTAAAATCTGTAAAGAAAAAGTCAGTGCTCCAAACCCAACTGGATCCTCTTCTATACAGTACTTTCCAGACACTGTGTACAACTCTAATACAGCCTTTATGTGCATGCATTATTTTTTGCATTGGATCAGTGTCTTAATTAGTACACAGATGCAATGCAAAAAGGAAGAAAAACACCTTAACTATCCACCTAGCCTTCTAACTTTGTCATGCTTGTTTGCACGAAGTTATATATTTTTTGTTTCACACTTATTTTCGACTAAATAGTACTTTGGCATTAAACTTCAAAAAATACTTAAATAAATATTAGTTTACTTGACTTCAAGGAGTAAGGACAAATTCTCTCTGGAATTCCAGGTACAAACAGAAACCTAAACAGTAATAAGCAGTCTGCTTTGAGAAGCTACCAGGCAAGGTAATGAAATATGATCCAGAATCAACTAGGGTGTTTTGCATGAAATGTTTTATATTCTCCTGTGTAAATACATGTTGCCAAGACCAAATGGACAAGAAAAAGAAACATTTCTTTTCTAGCTGTATAATATGCGTGTTTTATAAATTGGCTGTTAACATCAATGTTTCCAAAAGGTATATTATTCAGTGAAGCAAAGCATTGAGCTAAAATGTTAGTCTATCATCACACTGAAAAAAAAAAAAAGAAAAGAGACCACATTACTCTGTATATTTTAAACCCCCCAACCCTTAATGAAGGTAAAATTTCATGCTAACAATCATATCTATGAGGCTATTCCAAAGTTTCAACGGGAGTCTTTTCTGTTCACTTCTTTGGGCTTTCAATGAAGGCAATTAACTGAAAGAAGTACTGTGATGAGGGAAAAAAATATTAAAAGCAAATAGGATTTATGATCTGGATTATTCTGCTTCCAGCAGAAAATCTGATACTATCCAAAGCCTTCATTTTTCTTCTTATACTTTCTTAATATTTTCTGCTTTATTAATTTTCTCATCACAGTGAAATCAGTTCCATGTAATATTAATGAAGAAAAAAAAATAAACAATATTCTTGCCCATTAAGGGAAAACAATAAGATGTCAGAAGTTTAAAATGTACAATATGGTTAATGCTAACTATACATTTTTATAGCTTGAATTCATGTAACACATGTAAGCCCAATTTTGTGTCTGGCTTTCCATTGCACCTTTTTTTTCCTTAAAATATTTCCCATAAGTAACTAACATTTAAACTTAAGTGAGATTTAAACAAATGCTGCTTCTCTTGGTAGCCACAGAGACTTAACTGGAAAAGCACTCCTCATTTTCAAAAATTTGTATATATAAAAGCACATAGTATTTTATAGATGTACTAAATCATTAAAATGTTTAGCCAAAGAAAACATCAAATTCCTATTCACTGCCATTAGAAAATTATTATTTTTTAAATGGAAGAATAATTAAGAACAGATTTTTATTTCTGACAGCTCAGGCAGTATGTGCAATATTCAGAATCGTGACATTTTCAGGGATATATACTTGATGCATCATTTTTCAATAGCTGTGAGATTAGTGCCAGTAGCAGCAGGCAACTAAGGGCCAAATCCTGCTCTTTGATCTGTACCACACTTCTCAAAAAATGTGGTACATTAAACATTGGAAGACGGAACTGAACAATACACTCATCTACCAAAAAAGTGAAGCCCTTTCAAAAATTTCACATTTGCAGTGGCACATTCCCAAAGTGGAGTTATTTTAGGCCAAATATGGATATTTTTAGAATCAAGCTTAAATTAGACATAACTTTCCTTCAGAAGCAGTAAAAACTAAAGCAAATGTAACATGCAATTATTGACTGCATTAGTTCACACTCCTGACCTTGCTGATACATTTGACCTGATGCTTTTGCATAGTCATATCCATTTCAACAAATCCTTGAGATATATTGACTTTATAAGAACTCGAGTGAAAACTGGAAAAGGGAGTTTGTCTATTTGAGTCCCACTCTTCAATGATGTTACATGGCTATAGGTGCACTAGTTGAATATAAACGGTCAAGACATCAACAACGGGATGATATTTCTTCTTAAAAGGTCTCCACTAAAAACTTTGGAAGAAACTAAATAAGCTCTGTTAAAGGAGATCTGATCTTCTATTAAATTAAAAGGTAGGAAAGGGGAAGTAATTCTTCATTCTGGTGGAAGTTTATCAGTGGTTTTTCAGAAAGATCAGTGAGGGCCTCAGCATACACCCCAAAATAATCTGGAAATAGATGTAGACAGTGAGTACTGAAGACTGAACAAAGGAAAAACAAAACCCAGTTATAAAGAAGTTTAGGAATTTTACAGTACTGAGTAATGGGGTTTTACAAAGGTGAAAAGTTCAATATATGTAACTTAATGTCCATGAGGAGAAAGAGTACTCACTACAGATATGTAGACTGTTATATACATATATATAGATAGATAACATTTGGAAAAAAATAGGGTGTGTGTGTCTCCATGTGTATATGCTTATTTTGCTGGACTACAGTTTAATTACTGTCATGATACTGTCATGCTGGAATGAACATTGTGGAGTTACTGTGGCAAGTTCTATGAAAATATCAGCTCAATGCTCAATTTATGATGATCAAATATTGCAATTAGTACATACATAAAGTATGGAATTTGTAGTTCCAGTTGACTCAGTAAAGCAGAGGAAGAAAAATAACTGGAAATGACAGATGAACAAATGTGGTAACAAATATGGAGCAATTCTGTATGAAAATAATTCTAATAAATAAGTACCCTTTAGGAAGTAAGGAGATAATGGAAGAAAGATGAGAAAATAATAAGTGCAATGGAGTAGGTGAAGACAGTAATGCAATTCAGTATTTCTCAAATGCAAGAACTAAGGACTTTCATAGTACTTCTAGACAAGCAGGAAATCCTTTTTACATAATATTTTGTTATGTCATAATGCCACACTAGACTGTAATTACTTTAAAATGGTACATATTCGGTAGGATATCTTAACAGAAAATAATCACTGTAAGTTTGTTCTCTTATGCTTTATTCCTAATACAGGTTGGTGTTAGAGGTCAGATGCTGAGCTACACAAACTTGCAGGTTGATCTACTATCACTATTCTTGACTTCTTATATGTCTTATAAAATGTAGTGGTGAATAATGAATGCAGCTGCTCACTAAACATCATTTGTCACTTAAAACAGTTTATAACGTGGACTTTTCTATGACATGTATCCCTATTGTGCTTGAGACCTCATTGTGAAAGTCACTCTTTTTGATCCTCAGATTATATTCTTGAGTATCTGTGTCTCTACCAACTATAAAGCAAAATATGTTTCTCTTTATGGACGTATTTCTTTCCTGTCTTTCTTCTGCATCCTACAGATTTTATTCTAAAGAGAAATAATTGGTGATTGTAATGATAAAATTCTCCAATGCATGTTTTACCTATTATAACTAGTTTTAGAAAGTTTAGGTTTTGGAAATAAAGGTTACATTTTCAAGAAGGATTTCACAGCTAACAGTGAACAAAAGCAACTATCAGATATTGAGCAGTTTTTTTCTCTAACCAGTTCATTTAGTTGCCTAAAGGGGAGCTGAGGTCTCATAGGTAAGCTATCACGGAGAGCATCTCGGTATTAGTCCATTAGGAAAGTGTTTTCTGACTGGTGCCTTGGGGTTCCCCAGCCCGTTTGTTCTACTTTGAGCTCTGTGAAAGAGCTGAAGGCTCCCGGTTGTTTTCTATGTGAATGAGCCATTAAAGTGTGTGGGAATGTTTTCACAGCACCATGTCTCTCCTGTCTCTTCCACAAACCAAAGTACTTCACGTGTCTCCTCATATTAGCGCTGTCAGTAAACAAAGGCAGCTCTCCCAGGGGAGCAGTGCTGTCAGCAGACGGTGACTAGCCTGCAGAGGGGAGCTGACCCCTTGCACTCATTCCTGATGGCGAGATAAGGTCACTAGGGAGCTGACTGCTCATTTCTTCCCATAAGGCAGCAGAAGAAGAGAAGTTCAAACAGAAACTTGCACAAGTGGCAGACAAAACACTGCATGTGACTCTAAGCTCTTTATAGCCCTTCCCAAGGCACGAAGAAACACACTTGGAGACTTTAAAGTTTCGTAATGAGTTTACGTTATCCATTATCTTGGCATTAGCTGAATGCTTCAATATTCAGAGTGAACACACAAGAGAAAAACACATTTGGAATTCATCTATGAAGATAAAGCAACGAAAGCAAAATGGGGTAGGGGGTGGGTGGGAAGAAACATGGTGTGATTAGAAAAACTGATTTACATAGAGAATTTTCCCTCTGTAATGGAACTGGTTTTGATATCCAATCTATCTTTGCAATATATAAATATTGCTGTCCTGGCAAGAGATTGAATGACTCTATTATAACTTGGGGTTACTGCACTCACTCAGGCACATTTGCATAAAAACACTGTTGGTCAGTGGTAAATCTGTCTCTGGCAGCAGTTTGTCTTCGAAGAGAAGGGGCTCCATAGCTTACTAAATGTAATCAAACCCTAGTAATCATCACTCTGGAAATTTTTTGGTTCCAGTTAAAATACTGGATAAGAATTTAAAAGCTGGTATGATGCCAGAGGATCCTTGAAAAACTCCCAAGCTCAGTGCTCTGCACCACATGAATGCTT